CTTGGACAAGGGGGTAAAAAGCACCCTGTTCAAGTTCGCAGATGACACTAAGATGTGGGGAGAAGGGGAGACGCTAGAAGGGAGGAACAGGCTGCAATCAGACCTGGACAGGTTACAGGGATGGATGAATGAGAAAAGGATGGGTTTCAACACTGACAAGTGCAAGGTACTGCACCTGGGGAGGAAGAACCAGCAGCATACCTACAGGCTGGGGAACTCCCTTCTTATCAGTGCAGAGGCAGAAAAGGATCCTGGAGTCATTATTGATGCCAAAATGAACATGGGCCAACAATGTGGGGACGCGGTCAGGAAAGCCAACCATACCTTGTTATGCATCCACAGATGCATCACAAGCAGGTCCAAGGAGGTGATTCTCTCTATGCAACTCTAGTCAGGCTGCAGTTGGAGTACTGCATCCAGTTCTGGGCACCTCACTTCAGGAGGGATGTGGACAACATGGAGACGGTCCAAAGGAGGGCCACCTGCATGATCAGGGTCAGCAGGGCAGGCCCTACGATGAAAGGCTAAGAGACCTGAACCTGTTCAGCATCCACAAGAGAAGGCTGAGGGGGGATCTAGTGGCCATTTACAAACTAGTCAGGGGGGACCAGCAGGCATTGGGGGAGTCCTTGTTCCCCCGAGCACTACCAGGAGTGACTAGAAATAACAGTCACAAGCTGGCAAAGGGTAGGTTCAGGCTAGATATCAGGAGGCACTACTTCACTGTCAGGGTGGCTAGGATCTGGAACCAACTTCCAGGAGAAGTGGTGCTGGCTTGTACCCTGGGGGTCTTTAAAAGGAGGCTGGATGAACACCTTGCCAGGGTTGTTTGACCCCAGTACTCTTTCCTGCCATGGCAGGGGATCGGACTTGATGATCTGCTCAGGTACCTTCTGACCCTACCAACTATGAAACTATGAAGAAGTTACATTTTTCATGTGATGAGGCCCCTGGAAGTGCTTTACATCCATAACATAAACATTCACAGCTGTAGAGCACAATTAAAATAGCTGATTGTGCAAAAATTTAACCCTCATCTGATGAAGTATTAGATAGGTTCCCTTCAATTGTTAATTTTGGGCAATTAAATTTGTGCAAGCACCAACACAGCCCCACTCTTGGGGCTATCATAGAGAGGAGACAGAAAACCTCTGTCTTCTCCCTGTGGGATGGGGGAGAGAGGGCATAGTGGGGAAACGGAGCCCCCCTTGTGCATGGTCTCCCCCCAGGTATCCCTGCTGGAGTCTTGAGGGGAGGAGGAGGGGCTGCCTTCCCCCCTCCCGGCCCCCATGCAAACATCTTGACAGCAGTAGAATCCACTGCATCCAAAGCTGGGGTTCAGAGGAGGGAAACAGAGTCCCTCCCTGCCTCACAGACCCTGCCCAGCTACCTCTGCTGGGGTCTTCATCAGGAACTGGGCCAAGCCTGCAAAGCAGGTGGGGCTCCATAACCCCCCACCCCAGCTCTGGGCACTGCAATTTCTGTTGCTGTCAAGACACTTGCATGAGGGGTGGGGGAAGGGAGCCTCCCTGCCCTGTGTGACCTCCCTAGCTTCCCCTGCTTAGGACTTGAGGGGAGTTGGCTGAGCCTGAACATCAGGGGGGGCTCCCTTCCCCTCCCACCCCCATGTGAGTGTCTTGACAGCTGGAGCCTCATCTGCTGCACCTGGGGTGGGAAAGAAATGGAGCCACCCATCCTCATAGGCCTGCCCCCGCCCACAACACCCTGGCAGGGGTACCAAGGCTGGGCCTGCATGGTGGGGGGGGCTCCATTCCTTGCCTTGTCTCAGGATTTTGACAAAAGTAGCCTTGTGGTTGCTGTCTGGAGCTGGGGCACAGGGAGAGAGGGAGGGAAATGTTGCTTTGCTTTCTTTTTGTGTGTTCTGTTCCACTTATTAGCATAGTCTACTTGCATAATTTTCTTCAGGGAAAAGGACTATGCAAAAAACTAGACTCTACTGTGGTTTTAAAAAGCACACATTGGGGTTGTTTTAGGGTTTATTACCTAAAACAGGATAGGAGCTCAAAAAACACCACGTACCTCATGCTCAGCTCATTATCCACCATGTATTTTACCTCTTGAGTCACTGCCTCCTAAAAGATGCTGATCTAACATGGCCTACATACCACAAGCTGCAGGTTAGGCTCTTTGCCTCTGCAAGTCCTCTCCTTGAAGCTAACCCCTGGGAAGCCAAAAGAGAAAGATTGTGGGGCCAAGAGGAAGAGAAGCTAGAGAGCTTTTGGCATAGTAAGATGGATAAGCCCTGAAAGGAAGGAACCCCTAGATTCTAGCCTGGGCCCTTGAGTGGTATAGGATAGAAGCTTCCCCACTTTTCTTCATTCATTTTATTCCACAAATGAAGTGCAATGGCAAAGTCCCTTATGGGAGAGAGAAGCCTAGAACCTAGGCTTGGCAAGTTGCCCAACCACTAGTCAATTGCACTAAAGTATGAAAGAATTACCATCCTTCTCCATGATTTATACTTTCCCATGGCATGAACATTAACACTGTACATGGAGTACAGTGGCAAACTGTGTGCAAGGCCAGGTACAGACATTACATTTTACTGTTATAAGTGATCAAAAACAGGTCTAAACCCATAACAGAACAGACTGGTTTAAAAATGGCAGAACCTGTTTAATATGTGCACTCCTCACCCCCTGCCAAGGCCAAATGTGTGTTCTGTTCACTACCGATCTAAACTACACCGCTTACAAAAAACTGCATAACTTAGATCAATTCCACCTCAGACTTTTTGAATGTCTGTACCTAGCCCAAGTGTCAAAAGCACAACTGGGTCACAGCCATTTCAGCTAAAAAAGTGGAATATAATTCTGCCAATAGTGACATTCTTAAACAGTTCTCAGTCATTCTTTTTTTAAAGTCCTTTCTCCCAGCTGATTTTGTTCATAATTGGTTTCATCTTAGTGAAATTTGAAAGCTTTGAGAGAGAGAGTGAGAGAGTATATAATATGGGACTTTATATTCTATAAACAGGACTTCCTACTATTTGCACATATTGGGTGTGTCTACACATACAATTAATGTAACTGAATAAACTACAGCGCAGTTTGAGCCAGAGTAAATTAATCCAGTCACAGGAGCAAAGTACATGAGAGCCCAAGGGCCCTGGCCCTCCTTGGAAAGAGAGCTGTTACCTGAAATGTGTAAAACTTTCCACATGTCCATCATCTTTGCCCCCCCTCCCCATCC